CGAATCGAGCGCAGAGTTAAAGAGTAGAAGCTCAGGGGAGGAAGGCCCGGAGGCGCTGCAGAACAACGCGGCCCCCGCGCGGGGGACCGTGGTGACGAGTACGCACCGCGATTGACGCTGTCGTGGTCCTCGCCCTCTACGCCGAACCGGCCCTGGTCGTCACAGCTCTTCTCGTACAGCCGCTGGCGCACGATCGACAGCTGCGCCATGGGCCGCATCGGCTCGCCCGTCGAGTCGAAGAAGGGCGAGGCGTCCGTGTTGGGGAACGACGAGGACATCTTGCGGATGGGCTCCTGCGGGATGGTGGGCTGGTCCGGCGCCTGCAACACGGATGTGTTTTAGGCGTCGGTATTGACAGGGCACGTTGCGGAGAGACCTGCTTGTGGTGACTCACGATGTACGTCAGGCCGCTATCCGTGCCCACATCGAAAGGATAGAGGTTGATCTTCGCGTGGTCAACCCAGCTGTTGTTGGGGAGACACAGCTCTAGCCCACTGACACCCACGATCCAGTCGGGCGAAGGATCTGTGAATGACCGACAAGGGGAAAAAAAACTTATTTCTTTCTTTTTTTGGCCTTGCATCACCAAGTGCTGTGCGCTTAATTTTCTTACCGATCATGGATACCAGCGACATGAGGTGGTTCTTCTGGTCGACTCGGAACACGGCGAACGTCTTGCCCGTCACGTTGGGGTAGCTGATGCCCCTGGCCTTGATGATGGTGCGGATGTGGTCGCTCTCGGCCTTGAGCTCCGTCTCCAGGGCGCGGGTCGTGCCGCGCTCCGCCACCTGCTTCAGGCCCTCGCTGGCCATCCCGTTGTACTCCCAGAAGCGGTACTCCACGTCGTGAGAGGCGCCGATGACGTCGCTGTTGGTATGGGCACGCCACGTTAGTGTTTCGAGAAAGGAATACGGAACGGAAGAGTACATTAATTGTAAACAGCAGACCGCTGCAGAACGATACTAAATTCATTGCAATGTTACTGAGATTTGATTTTTTTTTCCAATCACGAAGTTGATTGGTTGTGGGTTTCTAGTTTCAAAACTAAGATTTGGCTATAGTAGCTTCATTTTTAGCTAAATGTTTTCACTTTGCTAAGATATTAGCCCGATCATCGAACATTTTTTCTTACAGCACCGTGGAAAATATCCTCGTAAATTTGCGTAAATTTACTACAGTTGTTGTAATTTGTTATATGTTATAAATTTGGTACACCCCATTCTTGGCTGGTCGATCAATTCTAAGACGATACAAATCTCTTGTGAATTTACAATTCCAAATTGTAATTTCAATAGATACACATCAGCTAGGGAAAAATCTTGTAAAGCTCCGACTATTTTTCACGTTGGTGTGGTGTGTCCTAAAGGGGTCGATATCTACGCACTTACCTGAAGCGCGTGACCCACGAGTCGGCGGGGAAGTCCTTCGGGTGCGTGTGCCGGGACCAGAGCCCCTCGAAGGTGACCTCGTACTTGGCCTCGTCGCAGGCACCGCACGTCTCGAGGATGGGCCGCTGCTCGTCCATGTTCTCCTGCGTGTCCTCGCACACGCGCTGCGTCAGCTCGCCGTCCGCGTACCAGGTGTGCGCGCTCTCCTGCAGGCCGAGCCCAAGAAGAAAGAAGACTTCAACTTCAGTGGACAAATTTCTCAAACTATGAAGCGCATTTTCGATGCACTTTAATAAAGTCTAATTTCGATGTAAGTTGATTTCGATACACTTTAATGAAGTTCATTTCAATGCACTTTAATGAAGTTCATTTCAATGCACTTTAATGAAGTTCATTTCAATGCACTTTAATGAAGTTCATTGCAATGCACTTCAATGAAGTTCATTGCAATGCACTTCAATGAAGTTCATTTTGATGCTCCTTGCCTGCACGGCGCCGCGGAACAGGACGCAGCCGGAGCCCTCGGGCGGCGCCGTCCAGTTGATGTAGACCTCCGCGGTGGGCAGCAGGTTGGCGTGCGTCACCGTGTTGCCGCAGCGCTCGTCGAACTTGGCCAGCGCGTCCGGGTACAGCGTGAAGCGGCCCACCTCCCGCTTACGGCCCAGGCCGTCGTCCTCGCCCTCCACCGTCAGCACAAAGCCGATGAACTTGTGGGGCGCGTCGTTGGCTCCACGACGGCCCTCCACGGACACTGAAAAGACAAACCAAACAAACTCGTGTTGGTGGAAATTTAGGACTTTACTTGTACGCACATGAAAAACAACAACTTGACATTCACACAACACTACCATCGACCATCGCCGGTCAGAGTGCGTCCAATGCTAACAAGGGCGCAACTATATCTATTCCTAGTCGATCAATTTCAACTTGTTATTTCTGTAATTTCTTGGCCTCCTTTGCAACGGCAATGGGTTAATTTTCATTGCCATGTCAGGGTATAATGAACTAAGTGAGAATACTCCCAACGATGTACGACGTACCCCATGCGCGAGAGACACACCCGTTGCCGCGAGCGGGTCTTGCGATATGCGGCTCTGTGCGTTGTGTTGCCCAACCCTCGGGCGGATGACGGCCGTCGTCGGCGTGAGAGCTGAGTGAGAGAGGGATCTTCGGGAAAGTTCGTCCATCATTCGCCTTTGAGAGATTGCCCAAGTTCAGACTGTGTAAGCTCTCATAGCGCCTGATAGATAGGCAACATATCGCGCGCCGTGCATGCGTGAATTGCGGTGTGGCCTACCCCAAGCTTCGCAGGCGCTGGGCTCCCATAATTTGCCGAACGCATCTGAGAGAAACGGACGTACTTTCTGGACGATTCCAGGTACTTCAAGCCAATAAGCATTTTTCGGTCTGAAAGATATCTTAGACCACCACCCATGATCCATGTCTGTTTAAGAAGCTTTAATTTTTTAGGTATTTGCCATTTTGGCCTGACAGTATACTCTAGTTTCGAAAATAAAAGTGGGTATAATAGACCGTGCCCAAGAAAATTTGCTAGTTAAACCAATCTGCAGCTGTAATTCTTCCTACATGTCGCTTTTCGAATGTTTCTGGGACCATAACTGATGCGCACACCTCTGACGTTTGCCCCGCGCGGGGGTCGGGGTGGAAGGGGAGGGAAGGGTCACCGCTCTTGTGATGGGGCCGAGCACTGACAGCTTGACAATCTAGAGCCCTTCATCCGCCTGAAGTGCCGGTCAGCAGCTACATTTAATAAGCTTACGTTTCCATTTAGTAATGTTGGTTGGATACTGTAGTTTTAAGCTGTTCTGAAACTTGCTGGGATTTGCTCTGTTTCTGTTTTCGATTTATGCAAGAATAATGTATATAGCTGCTTTGAGATGTACCTCTTATAAGTTCATGGTTCCTCAAGACACGAATCGAGCGCAGAGTTAAAGAGTAGAAGCTCACCCCGTCCCCCAATACCCTTCCTAGTTTCATTCTCTACACCCGCCTGGGGATGAAAACCGAGATGAAAACCATTCACGTTGAAACTGGGGGCAGCGCAACCACTACTCGGCCCTGCTGCTGGGCAGCAGTGAGCAGTGAACCGGACAGCGGCCAAGACGAGCTGCGCCCGGCAGCCGCAGCCAGCGCCAAAGTGTTGCTTCTGCTCCTGAATCATTGAGCCGGGCCAGCTCGGCAGCTCCGACTTTATAAGGTACACCCCCTCCCCTGAACAGTCCAGTCCGGGGCGGCCCCGTCCGATCCTTCGTACTCTGCTCTGTTCAAGGCGAGAACAATGCGAGCGCCCCATTCCTTGCTTCCCTTCCCCCGCCCCACCTCCCGCAAATCGCAGCTGTCCGGCCTGAAAGGGTTGCGGCGTGTAGCCGGCTATTGTCCTTAAGAGGCGCGCAAAGATCGGCGGGCAGGTAACGGGCACGGAAGGCGGTGCGCCGTTGGTTCCTTTAGAGGGCTACTCCAGGTGTGTGTGTGTGTGGGGGGGGTCTTTTTCTTCCCGAAGGGAGGTTAGATCGCTCCAAACGCCAGGGGAAAAGTTGAGGTTTTCGTGCAAGATGTGATAAAACTAAACAGGTGTGAATTTCCCTTTTGAAATCCACACACTTGTTCCTACTTGTGTTGCGAATGTCATTCACACACATACAAG